TTTTGGCGTGTCGTCAGCTTTTGATATTATTTTCAGCAGCAGCCAGCAGAGTGTGATGTGAACATGTATGAAAATAACATCCTGCTTCTGGGAATTAATACATGCTTGAACACAGAGGAGGCGTCTTTTGAGTGGTTCAAACGTCTGCCTGAGTGGCAAGTAGTTCCTCCTATCGATTAAAATTTTGTTTCTCTTGTCACAGGTCTTTGTGCAATCCAGAAACTCTTCCCTCCAAATTAATCAGGATGACCATGTCATAATAAACTGTCCACTTTCCGCAAGATCGCTTTTGTAGGAACTTGGAAAAGTGCTGCCATTAACTTGTCCAAATACCCTCTGCAGTTAAAGAGAAGGGCCTATAAAACAAGGTATTTAGTAGATGAAAATGTCAGTTATAATCCTGGCCTATGTGAGGTGACTCGCAGTAGATCAGTGTCACCGACTTCTCGAAAGGGGCTTGTGAAATGGCACAATATGAAGATACATCTCTCTCTAACCTCTCATTACTTTCTCCTTTGGATTTAGGAAGTAACATGGTTGCTGGTAAATACATTGCAAGTAGTTTGAAGCCAACTGTTTACTAGATCACTCGAACCTGGAATTAATTGCTTGAAAAGCAAGCATCATTATGTTTGGATCCCTTGTTTTATTCTTCTCTTCTCACTTTTTCTCACTAGTTGTTCTACTGGAGTTGAAATTTAGGGAAGGGTGAACATTTGAATTGTGCTCGGGGGATTGACAAATAATTCTGTGTCATTCACAAACCCAAACTGCATTACAGTGAGGATAAGATTGGGAGCCTGTGTCGGGACGTAAGGGTAGAAGAATAGCGCTATTACGCCACAAATTCAAAATTAAGATTAAAAGAAAGTCCAAACATACACGCAAAAGCGAATTCGTGGACAAGGCCCTCAAACAAAATTGTCTGTGGGCTGCAACTATTCCACACAACGCAGCTAGCGTTTCACTAAGTGAAACTGACTTAAAACCTACCTTACAGTTTTTTTTTTTCCCAGCCTCCATCCGACCGGGCAGTCAGAGCGGAATACTATTCCCAAGTCTGCGCTCGGATCAGAATGAATCGGGTACGGTGTTACTAATTTTTGTAGTGATGGGAAACTTGTAAGAACAATAGTTACGCATTAGCAAGGGCTCACACTGTCTCACACACCTCTGTTCATGCGTTAACACTGATGTTATTAAATGCACATGGTTTAATAGGTGCACACAAGCTAATAACCGTAATGGTAGCTGTGTGTTAGATTCTCCTGGAGCTGTGTGCCAAGTAGGACTTCCTGGTAGCCACGTGTTAAACGGTAGCTGCCGTTAATCAGCGTGTGTAGGCACACATTAGTCCATAGCGATGGAGAACCGCGTCAGTGAGTAGTTTTGAGTACAGGCAGGCAGCTAGCCAGTGCTTCACAACTCGTTGTGCCCTTGGAGAGGAGCCCGAGCGGCAAGATGAGAATGCCTGCTGATGATACACCTTTTTTTAGGTTAGCAGGGTTGAAGGTCCACTGTAAAGAAGTGTGGGTAACTAGCCGGTAAAAGAGTAGATGGAATTGGGGATAGGTAAATGTCAAATGGTGCACGTGGAGAAACCTCGTCCTAACTTTACAGAAACCATGATGATCCCTGAACAGCTTGCTGCCACGCAGGAGTGAGACTTCGAGTTTATGTGGGCTTTGTAAAGACTGGCCTGGCGTGCAGTAGTGGTTGAAAAAGCAAAGCAAATTATAAGGAAAGGGATGGAGAACAGAATGGAGGATGTAATTATGCCTCTCTGCAGATCCGTGGTGA